GAGAGAGAGAGAGAGAGAGAGAGAGAGAGAGAGAGAGAGAGACCATGCCAACAAGACCAATCCCTGTGCCTCCTTATCACAGTCCCCTCCACTATGAACATCAGCAGACTGCTCAATGCCGATGGGGGGATCTAACTTCACTATCTGTAGGCGGGGGGGGGCGCCAACCATGCGTAGGAACGCACGTGAGGCCAATGGGGATTGAACCCATGACCTCCTGAGTTGCTTCTTGCGAGCCTTACCAAGTACATTATACTTCTGATACAGAAAATCTGTATGGCCGCGAGGGGAGGGCAGGGATGTTTTATTGTTTCCTGTTTTTCCCTGTGTGAGGGGTCTGTGTTCGTTGGGGGCGGGAGACATAGGGGATCGCCACACAGCCTTTCGAAACCAACAAAATTGACGTTGTGTCTTCGCCACAAATCGTTTCGAAACAAATTCTTTTGTAGATGTTTCAAAAGGTGTCACATTGGTCCGTCTGCGCAGCGTTACCGGCCTGCAATTCGGGCCATTCGATATCGCTACCGCAGGCGCCGAATTGCAGGCCCGCCCACCACTAGAATCATGGCCTACCCCTTCAATCATCAGCCCGCCTGTTTGCCCATAGCCTCACCCACTTCACCACGGTCGTCGTATGATAGCGGGAGCACCAAATCGCCCGCGCGCTTTTTTGCTAGTTTCGTCTCCTTGTTTGTTTCTTTGGTCATTATTTTTACACACACTGTGACACACACACACACATACACAGGTCACAAACCGCGCCCCCGCCATGCCTGTATTAAACTGGAAAGATAGATTGAGTACCGTGACACGTGGCGGTCTGTTGCGGTGACCTGGTTTTTCTGTTCGTTCGTTTTTCGTTCTTGTTCGTGTTCTTGGTAAATAAATCCATATAGACATATATATACTTGTCTGCATCCCACTTGGTTTAGTCCCATTGCTTGGCTCACGGTAGGGTGCCAGTGGCGGTGATTTCATTTGGGACTTGTCAGCTGGGCTTTTTTCTTATCTTTTTGTCATTCTAGGTGGTTGTTTCCCGTTGTTCGGCCTGTGCTTAGGTGGCAGTGCTTTTTTTGTGGGAATCAACATCTACGATTGTCTTTTATGATGTTTTTTTGGGTGTTGGTGGTGTCCCAGTAATTTAGCATGGTTCTCGTGCGAAGCAGTGACTTGACAGTTTAAATCGATACCAATTTTTGCAACAACAACAACAAAATAACAATCGCGAAGGATTCTTGGAGCTGCCACGTACGAAAGGTATGTTATCTGGGATTGTTTGTTTGCAKGCAAGGGTGTTTTTGAATCCTCGTTGGTCTTGTCCYGTTGTTTGGCCMTGATGGTGGGGGCGGTGCTTGCATGTGGGACTTGTCATCTAGGATGTATTGTGCTGTTGCTTTGCTTGTGGTCCCCTGTTTTGTTGTACTTGGTTGTYCCCTTCCTCTTTTCTTTGCCTCTTTGCCCTTTGGCTGTGWGCAGGTGGGTSGATATGACACACGGGGGTGGGGGCAACGGCCGCTCAACCGACATCCACGTGGGCGGCCTTGTACGCAAGAGGTTTGAACCATTTCTCGATTTATGCGTGATATCCTTGGGCAAGGGCCATGCTAATCTTCTCTGTATCGTTCCAATTTTGACGGATGTCCCAAAGGACATGCAAGAGGTTCTGATTTATGCGTGGGCGACCCGACCGGTTGGGTCCCCCGGTTTGATGCAGGGCGGGTCTATCATCTTTTGCGCAGAGTGGGGGGGTGGGGGAGGGGCAGGCCTTTTTTGATGTTTTGTCGCCCTTTGTAGCCTCCCCGCCCCCGGGCGCACAATTTTTTTTTATTATTATTATTTTTTTAAATTTTTGAAAAGAAGGCTAATTCTTTTAAGCCCAACCAATTCAATTACCTGTCAAATCTGGACAGGACGGCCTAATGCACTTTCTTTTTTTTTTTTTTTTGAAAGCCCAGGATTGTTGTTGAGGTCGGAAGCCCAGCCCGGCAGAGCAGCCCTCAGTCGCCATCCATTCTGGTTGCCTTTCATTAGGGCGGCCTTCGAATTCGAAAGTTTCGAAAGTGCAGTTCGTGCTGGTCGTAGAAGAGGTCCCGTCGCTGCCCGCCAAATAGGTTTTCGTCGCTACCCGCCAAAGAGGTTCCCGTTGCTGCCCGCCTTCGCCGAGGTGCCGAGGTGCCCGTCACCGCTGCTTAGCCAAGGGCTGCCCGTTTCCCAGCTCGTTGTCGCTGGCCGCCGTCGGAAAGCTGTCGTTGCGCGAAGTGCCACGTGTAAGGGTCTCTCTCTCTCTCTCTCTCCTCCTTCGTCATCCTTTTTTCTTTCTTTTCTTTTTTTACCGACGTATCACGAAACCGCCAGGTCCTCCTCCTCCTCTTCCGCCTCCACCTCTCTTCGTCTTCTTCTCTCCTCCTCCTCCTTTCTCCTTTTCCTTTTCTTTGTTCGTCGATGTATCACGAAACCGACAGGTCCTTCTCCTCCTCCTCCTCCTCCTCCTCCTCCTCCTCCTCCCCCCTTAGTCTTCTTCTTTCCTCCACCTTTCTCCTCCTCCTCCTTATTCATTGGTTTTCTTTATCGGGTTTGAAGTGCCACGTGTCAAGTTCTCTCTCTCTCTCTCTCTCTCTCTCTCTCTCTCTCTCTCTCTCTCTCCTCCTCGTTCGTCATCCTTTTTTTTTTTTTTCTTTGATGTATCACGAAACCGGCAAGTCCTTCTCCTCCTCCTCCTTCTCCTCCTTCTCTTCCTCCACTTCATACTCGTCCTCCTCCTTCTCATCCTCCTCGTCCTCCTTCCTTCTCCTCCTACTCCTCCTCTTCCTCTTCCTCCTCGGCCTCTTCCTCCTCGTCCTCTAACTCCTCCTCCTCCTCGTCCTCCTCCTCCTCCTCTTCCTCCTACGCCTATTCTTCCGCCTCTTCCTCCTCCTCTTCCTCCTCCTCTTCCTCCTCCTCTTCCTCCTCCTCTTCCTCCTCGTCGTCCTCGTCGTCGTCTTCTACTTCTTCGTCTTCCTCGTCCTCCTCCTCCTCCTCCTCCTCCTC